GCTCTTAGGAATCCACTGGCATTAAAGCACCAGCAACTACTCTCAAGGCAGTGTTCCTCATGTTTTCCAAACAATTTTGGAATTGCAAATCAGTGCAGATTTCTCAGCTCAGTAATTGTGTTGCCTCATCATTTTTCTATCAACATACTTCAAAGCCCTTTAGATTTTCTCCCCAAATGCAGCCATCCATCCTCCTCCAACAAATCTCAGACCTGGCTGATTATTACCAATAAAATTATTGATGTTAGAAATGCTGATGCAGGAAGATGAGGCTATTTAAGAACGTTTTACCAGATGTTAGTTGAGTGATACTGCATCATTTCATGAAGCACATTGCAAAACCTCTTTCTTCCCTGCTGTGTTAAATTGTTACTTTCCCTGAGAGAGAAACGTGATTCTTCACAAAGCTGGCCTGAGAGGAAAGTGGGAAAAGAGTGTGGGAACAGCAGATAACATCAAGGGTTCCTATTTCCCTATTCTCTGCCTCTTGTGAGCAATCTTCCATGGCTTTTAACCACTGCCATTCATATTCTGAAGTGCTCTTTCCATGGGCACATCCTGTGGTGTCCCTGGTTTGGTGACAACCCTCCTAAATACTGAGTGCATTGTCAAAGAATCAGTCTTGGGTTCCTCTTGGTCTGAAAGAACCAATTTACTTTTCTCCTTCAACAGGCATAGGATAATTATAGGAAGCATCCACATCATACCATGTGGGTATCACATGCAAAAACCATCTATCCTACTATCGTGCATTGCATAGGCATCTCTGTTTCTGACACACACAGAAAGCCAAAACTCATCATCCCCGACCAGGAAAAAATTGCTTATTATTTTAATAGTTATTTTTGTCATATCTCAATGGGGGGTGGGGAGCAGTTCTTAAGGAAAATAAATTTCAGTTTTCTCACCAAGAAGCCAGACTCTGTATTTGAGTACAGAACTGCAAGATTCAGCTCAAAACCAATGACTTTATAGCTACTTCAACTTGGTTTAATCAAGTTTAAATAGCTTTTCTTTTTCCAGCATTTTAAGGAAAACGATAAACATCAGCAAACAAACACAATTCTGTCTGACATCACTTACTGGTCAGATTTTATCACCAGGTTTCTGCGTGAGCTCATACAGGGGTCTTAGCAAAGTGCAAGCCCACTTTGATATCATCTGTCAATCACCAAAGTGGAGAGAAGAAAAAACAGCAACCCACAAAAGAAACACCTCAGTACAGGCAAGCAATTTTGTGTATAGTTTTCTGCTAGGTGTCCCATGATCACATTTCACCTTTGTCTCTGCTAGCACTAAAAACAAGAAGCTACAGCATGCAAAGGACCCAGTGAGAATGCGGTGCCTGCATTTATATGGAGCAGTCAGCAGTTAGGATTGGAGCAGAGCGCATCATGCTGTGTATGAGGAGCAAGGGGAGATAAATTGAATGAAATGGGAAGCTAAGTGGGGAAAGCCCTATGTCAGGCTGTCAGCAGAATTTCAGTGCTCAGATAATTTCATAGCGTCCTCCCTACTTATGGCTTTAAACATGAGCATTGCTTGTGGCCACCTGAAGAGCCAGCGTGGCTCTCTGCATGGCCTCAGCTGGCTGCTGTGGAGAAGCCAAGGGCACTCACTTCCTCGCCTTTGTGGCTGTAGGTGACTAACGCACACACCTGCTTCCTCTGCAGGCTGTCACCTCTTCTGGGCAGGGGGGGCTGGTAGAAAAAGTCAAGCAGACAGCATTTTACCAGGAAACCCAGGTGTCCAGAACACAATTAAGGAGATTTGAATTGACCAAATCCTTCACCCTTCCAGAAAGCAAAACTGGATACAAACCTTTTCCAAGGTTTCCTCTAATAACTACTCAGGACACCAGGCTTACAAGCATAGGTGCCTAATGCATCCCTGTGAGCGTGCTTGCCTTTATGCAGCCACACAGAAGGTGCAGCACAAAGGAGCAGGGCTGCTTGCTTCCCTCGCACTGCTCAAGTCAACCTCATGGCACACTTTGGAAAGACAAGCCCCTTGCAAGGCACCTTCCCTGCATGCGGTGCACCACAACATTGCTGGGAGTTAGTCTAGCTTCTGAGCTCTTGACAACAAAAGAAATATAATTTTATTCTGTGTGTGTGTGTTCATGTGTGCGTGTGCATGCACGCACAAGGATATTTGGTCTTCTAATATGAAATGTGCCAGCAGTGTCCTCCTGCCCCATCTATTTGCTGTAATTTGCATTGTTCACAGAAGGCTTCAGAATCCAGCCAACACACATCACAAAATTGGTGGGAAGAACCATTACTCATAAATTTGTGCAATTAATTCAGTTCTTAATTTTTCCCAGGAGGTCATGTCTTGAAATGCTTTCAGATGATCACAAAAGAGAACAAGTTGGCTGGGAGCAATAAGCACCATCTGAGAATCCTCCCATAACTCAGGCCGTTTACTTTTCAGTTTCACTCACCACCATCCAAGCATATACCTCTTTTTCCTCAAATCCTTTTACTGTTTCTTCCTTTGAAGACGACTTCCAGGGAAAGCTCTAGAGATGTTGACCTTCAGAATAGATTAAAGTCCTGATCTCTCCTCCCCCTGCAGAGAATGTACAGAGCAGGCTGAGGTCCTTCAACCCCACAGCAAAGCTAGCTTGCTTTATGATGAGAGGTGTGCCTGTGATTCTTTCCACACTGGAAATATTGCTTAAGTACCCTTTATCTAAAGCCTCAAGCTTTAGAGCTGGGAGATCTGGCAGCAGCACAGCTATCTAACCCCACCATGGGAGAGTACATCCCACGAACTGGATCCTGCTACTGGCACCACGTGGCAGCAAGTCGCAGCCTTCTGGGGTAAGAGGTCCCCCAGCATCCATGCATCCAGCTGGCTAGTAACCTCTGTCATCCCAGAAGTTTCTGAGCAACCATACTGGCTCCTGGTAGGAAAAACTGAAGCTTCAGCAATCTACAACATTTTCCAGTCTACGACATTGGAACACAGAGGGACCTTTACCCACATGAATGGCCCCAAGTCGTAACTATATCAAGTTACTCACATGACCAAGTCCTTGCAGGATCCCAGCCTCAGGGACTACCGAGAGTCCAAGAGTCCTGAGCGACTGACAAAAAGACTCTCACAGTGTGCATTTGGGGTTGAAACACTACTTACTAGAACAAAGTGTGAATTAAGTGATACCAGTCCAGATTACACAGATTCCAAACAAGTGCAAATAAAATATTTTCCATTGCCAGAACACCATCATGTGATTTGCACATGGTATCCTTTACAGCAGAGACGATTGAGAAGTGTATCAACTAGCTGTTGTCTGCCTCGGAATTTCCCCAGCAAAAGGCCTGGCTGGCAACGTAGAGTGCTTAACTTCCAGGCTATTAAATCTCATTGAAATCAATGCAACTCAAAAATGTACTTAATTTTAAGTAAATGCCTACAGACTGTAATGAACTACGATGCTGCACTGGTCTTTGTGCTTCTTTGGCTGATTTATTTACCAAGGAAATATCTCAGAGGGACAGAAATTAGAGAAAGCTTCTAAAAGCTGTAGAATACCTTAAATAAATGTAAGATTGTTGCATTTACATTAAAATTATCAAGTTTAAGACGCAGTTTCTTAGGCCCTTCCAGAGATCATGCACTCACTTTGACCCTCTTGTGAGCATCTCACACAGAAAAATTAAAAGGAACAAATAAACCGAGATCATCTACTACTTGCCAATACAAGTTGGATTATTGCCCTAGGCCCCAGAGAAAACTGTAGCTTTGCATTCCCACTTCTCGTTAAGCTAACAAGGAGAAGAGGGAAGAGAATTTTTGAGGTGGCTTCTTCTTCCTTTCATCTGAAAACTGATGATGAGCAACTACTGAGCTGCTCAAAGCTTGTATGCATAGCTCTGCCTCACTTTCCGGAGATTACAACTGCACCGTTGAAAGGAGAGGTGAGTTCTTCCTATATGCTCCCTCCCTGGAAGCAAGTTAAACACTCGGTTAACAGAGAGCCCTCTGAAAAAGGGATATGGCTTTGCATTAAGCAGAGTTTGTAAATGCGTCTCAGTTATTTGTTTCATTCTCTTCTTGTTTCCTTGCAAACGATGAAACTCTTTAGAAAGGCTCAGGCAGCACAGACACTTTCTGCTTGTGGGTCTAATAGTTTGGCTGTCCATTCTTCTCATCAGACTCATGCCAGCATGTTTTCAGTGACTTAATGGCACTACTACTTTGGGGTAGCTGAATGGGGAAGCAGACTGCAGCTGCTTCTGAAGGTTATAAATATTTTTCACAGTCGGGGGGCTCCAGCAGTCCAACAGGATCAGGGACACCTGGGCTCTATTTCTGGCTCCTCTGCAGACCTTCTGTATTGTTTTGCTCCCTTCAGTAGCTCTAAACAAAGATGTTTTCCTGCCATATTTGTAAACTTAGTTGTGAGACTTCCAGTTGAAAATTTGAGCCACAGTAAGGAATTTGGGGTGATGGGGCCAGCCTACGAATGCCATCCTGGGCATTCATTTGATAACAAAATCCCACGAAAGCCATTGCACTTGTGAACACCATGAATGGCTCACAGGCCAACCTTACTTGCACCATTTACCAGTTAACCATCTGCTCCCTTCAGATATTATTTTATGGCTTTCCTTTGTTTTCATCGAGGCCTAAACAGGAATGAAATTGTGACTCTTGTCGCTAGCCCTTTTAAATAAATAGCTCTGCCATCGCTCTAATAAGTTTGACAAGTTGGTCCCAGGCCCTGGGCAGGAAGCTAATAAACTTCAAGTTGCTTTTCTATTGTTTTCCTAAAACAATTTGACTTCCTTTCTGATAGCCTCAAATTCCTTCAATAAAAATAGAGTAGCTGGGAGCCAGAGGAAGAGCTGAACTTGAGCCAAGTTGTGTTTACAATGCCGCCTGCGTAAGATCACATTTTTATCCTGATCCACGAAGACTCTTTAAAAGAATAGCAGGCAGACAGCTGCCAGTGCATGTCAGGAACAGCTCAGGAGCTAGTCTCTCACAGCATCGGTCCTCCAGGCTTGAGGAAATCTCCAGCCAGTGAGCCAGTGTCAGAGCATAGCAGGAGGTTGAGCTCCTGGGAGCTGACTGGGGTTTGCTTACCCTGTCCAGAGCGTCCTCTCTCAGACACAGATCTCTTCAGGGAGCCGAACACTGACAGAGAGGTGGGCTCCAGCAAGACCGAAGGGCTGTTCTAAAGCTCACCCTTCAGTCAACTTCACCTGCTCCTCCCTCTACCTGTGCAGGCTCAGCAAAAAGAGGTAAAGGTCTGTTCTTTCTTTTCTTCTCTTCTCGCTTTGGGAAACATGTATATGTATATATGTATACACACATGTATTTTTTGTAAAGTAGCAATTCATCTAGCTGGACGTTTACAAGACAAGATGAATGTCTGGTGGCTAGGTAGATGAGGACTCCTTGCTTGAAAATGACTTGCTGATCCTTTGGACAAATCCTTTATGCTCTCCATGGTTTGGTTCATCCACCTGTAAAGCTAGGAGAGTGTTTATAGGAGCTGTAATTACATTATCATTTGCAAAGCTCTTCTCAACTACTCAGAGATCCTGCAGAGTTGAGAAGTAGAAGCAGTAGCTGTGAGAGTGCCATGCTTCACTTACAGCAACATAAAGACGACAGCTAAGCATTTACTTTGGGATAGATGGTAATTTCTCCGCAGTGAGATGAAATCCTCTTTCAGTTTTTCTTGATGAAAATTTTACTGGCAAACAAGACTGATATACAGTGACATTTCATGCCTTACTGTTTCTTGTTTCCTCTTTTCTCACTCTGTGCTGGTTTGGTACTCTAGGCTGGTAAGGGGGAAATATCCATCCATAACAGAAAAATTGGGGATTTTATTAAATAAGGAACTGTGACTATAAAACAGTTCCCCCTCATTCAGGGGCCCATAGTCACATGCTACTCCTGTTCCCTTGGGCCCAGCCTTGAGAATTTGCCTCCCACTGGAGGATGCCTTCAAGCTGACTCCAGAGGTCTAACGTATAACAGAACTTCCCTCTCCCTCCTTCTCTTTCAATCATATCCACACATGGGGATTTGAGATAAAATATTTCACCAGGAAGGTAGCATCCATTGGTGCTTGAGAGAAGGTACTAGAGGTGCTTGTCCAGTATGGGACAATAATGAAGAATCAGAATAAGTGCAGTACTGTGGCCAGGCATTAGAGATGAAATACATACGAGAAGTTTCTATCTCGACTGCTGTTGGGTGGTGTTTTATTCTGAAATTTGCCAATGCAGTAAATCTGATATCCTCCCCAAGCACAAAGTCCTTGGTAGTGGCAGGAAAGTACAAGACATCTTCCCTTCAGACAGTCTCTTGAGAAATCTCATGAGAGCATCTACCCACATTTGAAACAGCCTTCCAGCAAGCCCAGATGCTCCAAGAACACCTGTTATGTGAAGAAGCTCTTTTATATGTGAGCTCTCATCTATACTACTGCATATTTGCAGATCTTCTCTATGTATTGTGTTGGCTTGGTCTTTTTGTTTGTTTAAATCCCTGACACAGAATGAATCCTCCATTAAATATCCATGGGATCAATGCCGAAAATCGCATCACACAAACTCTATTCAAGATTTACCTGACTTCTGTGTGAGAGGGAGCAGCTCTTATAAGGCAATAAAGCAAGTACAGGAAATAGAATGAACAGGAGACCCCTTGGCTTATCAGGTTCAGCCCCTTTGAATAACAGGCAAGTAAAAAACAAATGGCCTTTTCTAAACTTACTAAGCTCTGTCCTAAATCTCATTAGGTTTCTGCCCTCGCATGTGCTACTAGAACAGTGTTCCAGCACCAGCACCTCCTTCACTGCTCTGTTGCTTAGAAACATTCTGATTTCCAACCTAAATTCATTCACAGCCAATTTATATCTATTTATTCATGTGCCACATTGTCCTTTAGCTTATGTAGCTCTTTTCTCTCCCTAGTACTTTACTTTCCCAACCCCTAATTCCTAAAAGTGTCTGTAGGCAGCAGATCTCTCCTCTCTTAACCTTTGTTTTGCCAGACTAACTAAGCTCCCTTACTCACCCTGCAGGCACACCACACTATGTTTTAATTAGTTTGGGTATCTGCACTAGCATGAAGTTCAGTGCAAAATAATTAACGCAGAAAAGCTCAAAGTGGTACTGCATCTATTTTCAAATCTGCTCAAGTATCTCTCTGCAGTCACTTCTTTCACTGATAAGGAAATGTGCTCTTGGCCAAGAGGCACCCTCTGTCCCTCTGATCACCCCCTTGCTTTTCTTTGCACCTGTTTCGGGCTGAATATCTTTCTTGAATGTGGGTGAGCAGCACTGCACACACTATTCTGGTAGGGTCTCACATCCTCTTGGACAACATTAATCTCACTCACTGCAACTGGAAATACTGCTATGTCCTGAAAGTTCACTTGCCTTCTTCACTCCCACATAGCATTGCTGGTTCCTCACCCAGGACTTTCTCCGTCTCAGTCCTGCCAGCTAGGAACTCCCAATTGCTAAGAGACTTTCCTGTTAGTCTCAGAGCAACAAGTTCCTAGTGTTTGACTTTGCACTCTCTCATTTAGCCTCACCTCAATCACTCCAGTCACAAAGAGCCTTCGGGTTTCCTAGTGCTGGAATCCAGCTCTGCCCGGACAATACCTCCCAGCTTTGTTCCATCAGCAGATTTCATTAGCATTTCTACTTTCAGTGCCAAGGTAATTAACACAAATATTAAATAAGTTCAGTCCTAAGAGCAATCTTTGAGCAGCCTCACAGATAACTTCCCTTCAACCTACTAGGGAGCTGGTGTCTCAATTCTGTGAGTCTCCTACCTGCTTGAGGATTTCTCTAGTAATCCCTGTCTTCTTCAGCTGAATCTTCTCCAATAATTTCCTTCTTCTGGGACACCACATTGTATGCCTTACTGACATCCAGGTAGACAAAGCCTGATATGTTTCTTTTACCTAGAGGGTCAGGAATCTTACCCCAAGAAAGCTATTTACCTCTGATCAAAAGATGGTACGTGTTGTCCTGTTTTCCCCTTACCTCTTGGCTTTATTTCTCCTTTCCTTCAAAAACTGTTCCACAGCATCATAAACTGCTGAGATTTGCAAGCTGCACATGGCAAGCTGTCAGCTGTTCTCATTCCCACTGTCTGGGGGAGCATTCTCTTCCACTTGCTCTCTCACTCAAGTCATGCAAGTTTTGCATAGCAGCATCCTGGGGAGGGGAAGAAAAATCCTTCTTCCCAGCTTACCAGTGGGCAAAACAGCTATTTCTCTAGCTATGGATCTGGAGAAGCTTCTGCGACACCTCTGTTTTCCCTTGAAGAGGTTGCATAAGAGAAGGGAAGGGACAACACATTGAGGGGCTGGCTGAGGTATCTGTACAATATCTCTACTCACCTTTCTGTCTTTTGCCTCCCTGTCTGCCTTCAGCCATTCCCTTTCTGTGCATCAAAATTCAAAAGGTTCCCACCACCAAAAAAAAGAGCTCATAACAGTTACCTCACACGCACCATGCATGTATTGGACAGAGACCTTCTCCCCTTCCTCATTTATTCAACAGAAGGAGGCTGTATCTGCTGGATTCAGAGATTAACTTTGTGGGAGAATGAGTATGCCACTCAGGAACCATACTGGGATAGAAGACACAAAGGAGTGAGCAGGGACAATCAGACCTGATTACCCCGAGTGCACGGCAAAGTGCCAGCCACACAGGGAGGGGATTACATTTCAGACAAGCTCACTGACAGGACCTGCCTCTCTATAGCACGTGAGAAACACTTGACAAGCCTTAGTTAGCCTATCCCAAAGCCAGCTGTGAGCTAGATCTGTATTATTAACACCTTTTTTTGGACGCTTCTATGATGAAGTCCTTGACAATTTCACTGGCATAAAAATCAGCAGGACTTTACATAATAATGCTTTATGGAACTTACTCTAGAAAGACAAAAGAGAACAGTAATATTCTCCTTCCCATGAAAGTCCATCACGGGTATACTACTGCCAGGCAGGAGAGGGAGAAACAACTCCAGAAACATTCCCATTTTCTTTGAAGTCACAGAAGGCCTTTCAATAAAGTTAGAAATGAAGGAGCAAACGACTATGGGTTTCTCCATACCAGTTCACTGAGCTGCTATGGAATTTACTGTGCACTGTACGTCCTGCACTAGCCATCAGTGAGGATTCAGCCCTCTTGAAAAGGAGTTGCACTCTTAATTTCAGAGTGAGAGCATCCACCTAGAACAAGCCTCCAGAGGTAGCATCTGCACAGCACTGTCCCTGCATCGGCTGGCTTTCAATCTCATGACTAAAGGGAATACTAAATTAGTGAGAAAACAATTATTAGACTAGAAGAGCCTGGTGTTTTAGTCTCTGGACTGCTTTTGCTTCACAATCTACACTAGCTGCTGCATAGGGATCACTGGGAAGTTATGTTCTGAATGGGAGATATCTATCCCAGGAAAGATTGCTGGAGAGACACCCGCCAAACCTGTTATCAGGGTAGCAGAGTCTTCTGCACAAATATCACTGCCCTGACACTGGTTCTTTGAAACCAGCCTTTATCAAAGCCAGAAGGGATCTCTGATTCACCTTCATCTCTGGAGCCTGATACGCAGGAATCAGAGGCTTGACTTGACATTTACATATAATACACGATTTTCAAACACTTGTTGTGCCCAAAGTATTTTTTAGAAAGGCCCAAATGCTCATGCATCAGACTGTGTGCACAGAGAGGCTGGGGGGTGTCAAGAAACACCTCTCCTGACAGGCAGGTTATTCTGTATTTATCAGTAAAGGGGCCTGTGAAAACCCTCCTGGGAAGGATCAGGTGCTCTTTGGGACAAGGCTGCAGCTGTGCTGGACCCCTGGTCCAAGCCAGCAGAGCACATCCTACGTTATGTGGAGAGGTGGAGGGCCCTGCTCCACATGAACTCTTCTTTGCCTGATTAAGCTTTAGCGAGTCTGAAAAATATCCTTCATTGATGTCCTGCATCGAAGAAGTTTCCCAGGGTCTGGCTGCAGTAACTGTGGGCATCCCTGTGTGTTTTCATTTAAGGAAGGCTTAGACCATGGCATGTTATCTGGGGGAGGAGGTGCGAGCAGCAACTGGAAGGGGCAGCGCAAAACCAACAGTGAGTGCATCCTGTCGGCATGGGGAGGGTGGCACGGGGAGAGGCTGAGAATGGAGAGAGAGGAATGAGATCCATGGTCTCTAAAGAAAAAACAACAGGAAACTAGGTTTGAAAATAGAAAGATTAAGCTGGAGGA